GTAAGCTGTAAAGTAAACCGGAAAAAAAAATGTGACAGAAATTAAATTCCTAATACATAAGGAGCACTTATCAATTAATATGAAAAAAACCTCTTTATACCTCAACTAAAAGAAAAATTAAGCAAACAAAATAAGTGGGGACAGGAACAGAATATTCCCAAAAGAAGGAATATGTGTACATGTGACCATTTTAATCATAAAATTTTAGCCTCGCTAGTAATCAAAATCAAGGTGAAATGAAATAGAAATTTTCCTTTTCCCAAACAGCAAAGAAGAAAAAGAGATAATACTATAAAATGCTTTCAAGGGCATAGATAGAGGCCACTGTCACACAGGACTGGTGAGAGTAAACTTTGTATTTTGTTTCTAGATAATAATCTGATAATACGAACAGTAAATGATGTCTATACCCTATCATTTTAGAAATTCTACGTTAGAAATCTATCCTAAGGAAGTAACCAGGGATGTGACCAAAGTTTTAGGTTTTGTGTTTTTTTAAAGATTTTATTGGGGAATTAGGGGAAGGGAACAGCGTTGGGGAATTGGGGGAAATGGAACAGATAAGTTGCTGTCCTTTTGTTCTTCAGTGTAGTTGTGAAGGATGTCGCTTCACTGGCCCATGTTGGTATTACCATTGCGCTCTTCCCGGGTGAGGCAGATTGGTCACTAAACGGCCGCTCACACTGGCTGTTGGCTGCTCACGCCAGCTGCCAGCTACTCACGATAGCTCACGGCAGCCTGCTACAGCTTCACTGCAGCCTACGCTGTCGCTGCAGACTCACGGCAGCCCAGCTCCAGGTCCAGCTGTTGTTCACTATCTTAGCTGTAGAGGGCGCAGCATCACTGGCCCTAATGTGGGATCCGAACTGGGGCCCTGCTGCTCAGAGCTGGCGTCCCGAGCCAACTCTTACCGAACGCACCACTCGGCCGGCCCTAAGTATTTTTAATAGTGATAAATGGGAAACAACCTAAATGTCCAGCAACAGGAAAAATGACAAACTGTAGTATATTTAGAAAATAGAGTATTAATTATATAGACATCAAAAATAATATTTTCAAAGAATATTTGACACCATGGTCATGGTAAAACGTTAAGTTAAAAGGTGAGATGGTGAACTGTGTAATTGTGATAACTATTGGTTGCATAGTTCTTTCTATGTGTGCCCACACTGTTGGAAATGCTTTACACAATTCACCTCATTTAAGCCCATAGCAACCCTATGAGGTGATACTATTATTCTAATTTCACAGGTGCAGAGAGCACTTTGTTCAGGTTACAGAGCTAGTGAGTAAAAGGGCCAGGTTTCAGACCAGGGTCAGGCTCCAGTGGCCTCACTTGTAACCTTGACCCACACAGCCTCTCACATTGCATATCCGGTATGAGCCCAAATTATGTGTGTATTTGCAGAATTCTCCGAAACATTATAGTAATCTCTGGATGGTGGTTTTATGCTCCTCTTTACCCCTTTTCACAACTTTCTCAAACATTTGTAGCAACCAGCACTTTTAAGGGGCCAGTGATGAGAGGCGGCAGCAGCAGTTTCCCTAAATTACAGATAGAGGGTGGTAGGTGGCTATTCTTGGTCCAGATCTTCTCCTCCTGGGGCAGAGGCATGCCATTCTGGGACGTGGTAACTCAGTCAGTCCAGTCTGTGCACACATGGGTCTTCACCAAGCCCAGTACAACTGTCCTGATGTTCCCACCTTGAGAAACCGCTCCTGTGTGTGTGTGACTTTACAATGTGTGACTCTTCAGTAATGAACATTAAAAAGAATTGGAGAACCTGAGATGTTTAGGTGAGTTTTATATTCTTTTTAACTTTAAAGCACATCTTTGCACTATTTTTTTCTTTACAATGAGTTGTTTTCATTTGAATGAAGCTGAAGTTGTTCCAAACATTTGTAAATATATGAATTATTTAATACATTTTGGGCCAAGTGGCAGTGAGCAGATGTTTATTGAATCTCATGAGGACCTGGGCTAGATGCTTCAGGGATCTCCCTTCGTCCCAAGGCTTTGAGACGTCATTCCTGCCCACAGATCACTTTAATCTCCTGCGAGAACCAGGCGATGTACAAA